ACCAAATAACCAAGCAATCACTTCATTGCAGGTCTCCCTTCTTTTAATTTGCACTAGAGAATGTTATCTTCTTCAAAAATATGTGTGTGTGCACGCACATACATATCTATATATGGATACAGATACAGATATATAAACTTGCATCTATACACTGGATGCAACCCCCTGGGAAACTGCCCTCAGGAGTAAAGGAGCACAAAAGAACTGGCAGCTCTTTGAAGACATTCTTTTTAGAGCACAAGAATTATGAATTCCCTGCGCAAGGAACCAGGAAAGGAAAGCAGGAGACCAGCACGGCAGTGTAAGGTCCAGGAACAGTTTAGGAACTCTAGCCAAGAGTTTAGGGGTGGAATCAGGAAGGCTAAGGCACACCTGGAGCTAGATTTCCAAGGGATGTGAAGAATAATCATGGTTTCTACAGGTACACTAGTCTGAAAAAAAGAAGAAATTGCACACCACCACCCCCCAATATAGGATTTGGTCACAATTTCGATGGAGAAAGTGAGGTATTCAGCAACATTTTTCCCCATGTTTTCACTGGCAATTGCTCTTTCCACATCTCTCAACTGCCTCAGTATCAACGCAGGGACTGGTGGGATAAAGTCTCACCCATCATAGGGGAAGATCAGGTTCAAGACTCTCTGAGGAACCTGAACATACACAAATCCATGGAACCTGATGAAATGCATCCCAGGGTCCTGAAGGAAGTCACAGATGCATTTGCTAAGCTACCCCCCATCATAGTTGAAAAGTCATGGCACTTAGTCACTCAGTGACTGGAAAAAAAACCCACATGCACCAATACAGGTTAGGGACAGACATTCTAGAAAGCAGCCCTGTGGAGGAGGATCTTGGAGACCTGGTAGACAGTAAGTTAACCATGAGCCTGCAATGCGCCTTGCCAAGAAGGCCAATGGTAGTGCGGCCAGTAGGTCAAGGGAAATCATCCCTCCCCTCTATTCTGCCCTGGTGAGGCCACATCTAGATACTGTGTCCAGTTCGGAGCTCCCCAGTTCAAGAAAGACAGAAACGGCTGGACAGAGTTCAGCAGAGGGCAACAAAGATGACTGGTAGACTGGAGCATCTCTCTTCCAAGGGAAGGTTAAGAGGGCTGGGACTATTCAGCCTGGAGAAGCAAAGGCTGAGAGGAGACCTTGTCAATGTAAGTATCTAAAGAGTGGGTGCAGGGAGGATGGAGCTGGACTCCTTTCACCAGTGCCCAATGTGAGGACATGGGGCAACAGGCACAAGCTGGAATGCAGGGAGCCCTGGCCCAGGCTGCCCAGAGAGGGTGTGGAGTCTCCTGCTCTGGAGACTTTCAAAACCCACTTGGACACGTTCTTGCGTGACCTGCTCTGGGTGACCCTGCTCTGGCAGGTGGGGTTGGACTGGGTGATCTCTAGAGGTTCCTTCCAGCTCCAACAATTTAATGATTTGGTGATCACACTCATTTTTAAAGAAGGTAAAAAGGAGGACCCTGGGACCTCCCAACCAGTCAGCCTTATCTCTGCATCCAGTAAGATCATGGAGCAGACCCTCTCGGGAGATATGGATGACAGGGAGGCGATTCTCTGAGCGAGCCAGCATGGCTTCACAAACGGCAACCCATACCTGACTAATCTGGTGGCCTTCTCTGATGAAGTGACAGTGTTGGTGGATGAAACAACAGCAACTGATGCCACCTACCTAAACTCCTGTAAGGCTTTTAGCACAGTCTCACACAACATCCTTGTCTGTAAACTGGAGAGGTGTGGGTTTGATGGATGAACTACGCAATGGGTAAGGACCTGGATGGATGGCCATGTCCAAAGGGCTGCAGTCAATGAACAGCTCAATGTCCAAAGGGAGACCGGTAACAAGTGGTGTTCCTCAAATGTCTGTGTTGGCACCAGTACTATTTAATATCTTCATCAGTGATGCAGAGAGGGGGACTGAGTGCAGGTATGCAGAAGACACCAAGGTGTGGTGCTGTGGATTTGCCTGAGGGAAGGGATGCCATCCAGCAGGACCTTCACAGGCTGGAGGAGTAGGCACATGCAAACCTCATGAGGCTCATCAAAGTCAAGCACAAAGTTTTGGACATGGGTCAGACCAATCCCCTGGGACTGAGATGAGAGTGGAATGAAGGGATTGAAAGCAGCTCTGTGGAGAAGGATTTGGAGATACCACAAAAATTGGACATGAGATGGCAACGTGTGCTTGTATCCTAGGAAGCCAATCACACCCTGGGCTGCATCAAAAGCAGTGTGGCCAGCAGGGTGAGGGAGGGGATTCTGCCCCTCCGCTCTGCTCTGCTGGGACCTCCCTGCACTTCTGTGTCCCGCACAAGAAAGACATGGATCTGTGAGTGCAGGTCCAGACAAGAGCCATGAAAACAACCAGAGGGATAGAGCACCTCTACCATGAGGACAGGCTGAGAGCGCCTCACTTTTTCAGACACTTTATTGTGGCCTTCCAGTATTTAAAGGGGGCTTGTAATAATGAGAGAGACACTTTTTACCAGTGCCTCTAGTGACAGGACAAGGGACAATGGCTTTAAACTAAAAGAGCATAGGTTTACTTTGGACAAAAGGAAGAAAATTTTTACAAAGAGGATGGTGAGACACTGGAGTCAGTTGCCCAGAGAAGCTGGGGACAGCCCATCACTGGAAACCTTCACAGTCAAGTCGGACAGGGTTTTGAGCGAGCTGATCTAGTGTAGGCTGTCCCTGCCTGCTGAAAGGGGCATGCACTAGTTGGTCTTTAAAAGTCGAACCCAAACCATTCAATGATTCTGCGCAGTAGAATTCTGACCCAGGCTAACTGAACTCTTACCAATGAATCAAACAGTAGACTCATGGGCACTTCAACAGGAAATCTGAGCACTGTAGGCTGTTGTACAATTAGCTGGTTTGATATGTTACTTAGAGCTCTGGGTACACATGATGCAAATCCCCCAACTAAACACCTTCCTTGAGGCTCTGCTGCTCTGAGGGTATGGGAAAATTTAGCCTCAAGGAAGGTGTTTAGTTGGGGGATAATGGAGCACAAATGGATTGTTTGATAATGATTTTTTTCCATGTGCCATATTATGTGGGGCAACATGCTGTTGATGTAACTGCAAAATTCAGGTGGTCACAAAGTATCCAAGTTCAGAAAGCAGGGCTGTTTAGTAATTCATAGATGACAGTAAATAGGACTCTAGACTGAAATCCACTAAGAAAAATCTCCTTTAATTCGTGGGTTTATCATATTGTCCATCTCTTGGGCGGGAAGGCAGTAAACACGTGTGGTCAAAGTACAGCTGTGGAGAGCAGAGTACTGAGGAGAACCGGTGCAGACAACAGAACAGCAGCAGAGCATGCAGGACAACCACGTGAGAGGCTGGGGCGTGCTGTGCCCGTACGGCTGGTACAGGAATGCTACACACGGACGGACAGGAAGCCATGTTCTTGCACTGGTCATGTTTTATTTTGTCATCTTCTAATCTTGCCCCTCTCATTGCAAACCTTCCACACCCTGCACAGAAGTCCACGCGTGAACACTTCCAGCCCAGCACTGCAGGCACAGTGACAGCTGGCTCCAGAAGGCAGTGTAACGACTGTGTGGAACTGCAGTAGAGCGCTGCTCGTTGTCTCACCACCTTCACGCAGGCATAAATCCCCATCGCAGGCAGACCGTCCTCAGCTGGGGTCTGCTCTGCATACTCCCTGGGAGTGGCAGTTCTTGAGAACACCCTGGCCGTACAGAACCTCCCACTGTCAGGGCCAACGTGGTTCTTCTGGCGGTAGCACACACACGTAAACCCACCTGTTCACCGGGTGCTGCAAGGGCTGCCCTGTGAACTTCAGAGCCAGAAACTTTGGTAGATGGCGAAAATTCATGGGGAGTTAACATGGAGTTAGCTGCCTATTTGCTTGTCTGCAAAACTGCAGGGAAAAATTTTGCAACTTCCTGGTCTGGTGAGTCTTTGAGTAACAGAAAGTCTGGAGAACCCATTCTCTGGAAGACAGAGTAGGACGGCCTGGGCTGCTTCCTACTAGCTTCTATGTCTTCTGTGCATTTATGGAACACAGAGAGATACTCCCTATGATCCAGAGTTCATGGCAACACATGACTTAAAATAATGAAGCCTCTTCTTTGAACTTTTTCCACACAGTGAAGCCACTGCTAATACACCTCATTCACACAAAGAAAGCAGTATTGAAAAGAAACAGGTAATATAAGACAACAAAGGCAGTGTCTACAGTGCCGAAAGAAGGGACGTTACAGGAGCAAGGGCTCCACACGGGCAAGGCAGTTCAGTGGAACCTGGGTTTCAGCACTGGCAGGACTGCTACTACAGAGATGCGCTGGCTCGCAGCAAGTTTGCTTCCCAGGTGAGTCTGAAGCAAGTGGTCTTCAGAGGGCCCACAAAGGTTGTCCCATTACCTCAGTTACTGGGGGTCTCTGAAAGGCCAGTGAATCTCCAAAAGGATTCCTCACTGGACTGGAAGACCCTCTACGTGCACCCAAAGCCCAGTGCTGCAGAAGACAGATGTCAGGGGAATACTGGGTCCCAGATGAGGGTAACGACGATGTCCCATCAATTCCAAGCAGACCAGAGCTCATGTGCTACTGCCTGGTGCTGGGCCTAAACATCAGCATAGGAAGCAGAGACAGCGCCTTGCAGATGGGAGTGTATGCCAGGAAGGTGTTTGCTCTTCTGTGGTAGCCTTGCTGACAACAGACAGGACAGTTATGGGGCAAGCTAAAGCTTTTCTATTCTACACAGCGCTGCTGAGTTTGTGTGCATACTGTGCAAGAAAGGATTCCCTCCTTAAAGAGACCTGAACACTGTGTTAGTCAGATACTTACAGGGAGAACTGCTAAAAAAGAACCCTGATCTCACCCATCAGAGAAAGATGACAACACAGCTGCTGTACTGGAAGCGACTAAACAAGCAACTAACGTGACCTAAACCAGGGCTGTAACCAGAGCAGGAACTACACTGGGCACACTGCTAGCGCCACTGTCCAAGGGAACTACACCAGGAGAGGCAGCCTCTGCACCACAGCTTTGGTTAGAAGTCTCTCACAACTGACCAGAGGCAACAGTTTCAAAATCAAGGTCACGGAGTAGAAAGGAGTCACAGTCCCAAAGACATTCGGTCGCTTACGTTAGTGCTGTGGGTTATGAGTCTGACAGAAGTGTGGCTTGTGACTGAAAAGCTTTAGGATTACTCCTTTTCTTCTGGGAATCTATTTCCGGCCTCGCTTGCGGCTAGTTTTCGGAAATTCGGCTCTCTGTGCAACTTGGGGCTCCCCTTCCTCACTGCTTGCGCTCTCATTGTCCACCCGCCGTGGACGACCTCTCTTACTTCTCCTGATTTTCTCAGGTCCTGCAGTGGGGATCTTCTTGGCAGCCAGGGCCCCAGTTCTCTTCTTTTTGCCCCGGGTCAAAGGACGTTTTTTCCGTTGCTTCTTCTGCTCTTCTCTTTGGCGGATTTTCATCAGCTTCTCAAAGCTTTTGGTAGTAGTTGTGTTCACATCAAACCAGTCCTGGGGGGTTCAGAAGGCAACAGGTTGGTACTGATGGTGGAAAGATCATATAAAGCCTGTTAGGGCTTATAATAAAGCTGCCTTGTGGGACAAGGGTTTCCTGAAATGTGAGATCTGGAAAGGCAGCTGCCTAACAAAGCTCTGTTTTCCAATGTTCCTCCTCAGGTGTCACTCTGCCTCAGAGGATTGAGACGTGATTTGGCAATTGCCTGGCTAAAGGTGTGGGAAATGCCCAAGAGCTGAATTGAGCAACAGCACCAGCCTGGGACAAGATATGTGACATGACAGAACACTTCCTCCCCAGACCAATGCGTAAGACCAACTATGTTCAAGCAAATCAATGACCACTTGAGTCTAGGACCCTGATCCCAACAGCAAGCAAGAGAAAAATAAAACAGTGCAAGCATCCAGCATTTCCTACCCAAGATGCCCTCCCCACCTCCAACCGCCTGGGGTTGGAGGATTTCATCCTGCTGGCCTTACCTCAGCATGCATGGAGTTGATGTGATACTTCACCCCGCTCTCTGAAATGAACTCCTTCTCACACAAGAGACACTTGTATTTACCAGCCACAAAGTCTCCCTGGCACCAAAACAAAAAAAATACATCACCAATCGCTGCCTAGATGGCCGATACGCCTATATATTGTATCTAAACCTTGCTCAGACATAACCCAGCAGTCAGGAGGAACTCTTATTCACACCGACAATGTTTTAGCTACAGGAGCTCTCACATCACTGACCAGCTGTGCCCACAAAGCACAGGACTGCTCAGAGAGATGTTTTGAGGTTTCCAGTATTGTATTGCTCTTGTAGCTGTGAATCTACAGGTAGGACTGCAGTTTCACTAAAATGCCTGCAATTTGCCATGTGCCTGCTCCTTGCCTCAGGCAGCGTTTGCAACGGCAGACCCATTAGCACATAGGGAAGCACTCAAACTGGGAGGAGCTCAGACTGGTAGATGGCAGGAAAACAGCTCGAACAAGGACATATTTGGGGGACAGGGGGAGTCAGGCTACTGGCATAAAAGACAGTGAGTACAGGAAGGCTACCAACCAAGGTACAGGTGCCAAGGTGAGATTTGAGTCCTGAGACACTGCCATATACAGATTCACAACCCTGAAACAGTAAAAAAAACACGTGTCAGCAAAATTCTAGTAAAAAAGCACTTCTTCCTGCACAAGAAAGTCTTATTCTCTGTAAGACAATTCCAAAGAAGGAGGGAGATATCAAGTCCTACCAGCCAGAAAGCTGCTGGTTAAAAGACTGTTAAAAGAGACTTAAGTTTGAAATAAGTTAAACCTTTCCAGTTTCTGAGCGCATTTAGATACAATAAAGACTGCTGTCACAGTTACATTCTCCCTCTATGAAAAGCCTGAGTATAATGTTATAATTTGCATTCTGCCTAAAGTGCAGCAGAGATTAATTTCAAAAAAAGCACAGGGGCAAGGACGAGATAGCTCAATCTCTTCTGCTCTGCTCGTGTCCCTGGTGGCGTGGAGCAGAAGTGCTGCATCAATGATCTCAGCTCAGGGTGGCTGCACAGGCCTTCCCCAGCTGGAGCTTTAGGCTTCAGGACACCAGCCAACAGCACAGACCCTGAGCGGGAGGTCGGCATGAGACACGCTTCTGGGTTACCTGTCAGTGGGGCAGGACAGCTGCTTTCTGGAGACAGCTCCACATACACTATTACGCTGCAATTCTTACACTAGGAAATGAGACAAGCCTGAAAACTGGGGAGAGAGTGCTGGGGGCCGGGTGGGCAGGGGAAAGGTATTGTCTCTACACCAAACCCAAGTGGAAGCCACCACTGACCCCTGGCTCCGCAGCAGTGTGCATCATGTGCATCACGTTACCATTGTTTCCACCAGTGAGATCATTTCTTTCCAGTGGATCTGACTGGTGCCTGCTGCGTGGGATTGTAAGGATCAAAGAGCACGTGCATATGCATCTCTGGACCAGGCCAACTGAGCCAGGCAGAAGTCTCCCATTACCGATTCCCAGCTTTTAAAAGAAAACTTAAGTGCTGTTCCCAAGTCCTGCTACTCCTACATTTCCATCTCTACTACAGTTGCCTGAGGTTGCCCAAGGCTGAGTGCCAGGTCCTGCCCTTGGGTCACCCAAAGCCCTGGCAGTGCTACGGGCTGGGGGAGCAGCGGCTGGAAAGCGCCTGGCGGTGCCGGTCGCCAG